TTAGAAAAAGTGCAGTAGTTATTTAGCACATTGTTTTTAATTAAGTTTTAAACATTGCTACTTAATGTTTTCATCATGTGCACCACAAACTGTTAATGTTAAGGTGAAATTTGGATTCTCGTAGTTCTTTAATGCCACATAATTAAAGTAAATACAGTGTTGACTAATTCTCCACTCGGTGCATTTCTGTTCAGGCAGCCGGGCGAGGTCAAGCCTAGAAGTTATGACGAAGCGACGAGGGAAAAGTTTCCCTCCTGAAAGAAACAAGTTTAGTGGTTGTAGGAGGGGTCACCTTAAGTTGTGGACAACTTGTTTGAGCGATATGATTTTATAATCTCAGTAACAGCTGACTGCATGAATGTGCAACCAAACTCCACCTGCTTGGTGTGCTGTTTTGTCAGCTGGCTTGTAAATGGTTTGGAGCCACAGTTTGCTGCAAATCACCAACAAACTGGGTTCCTGAGCCAATCACAAGTGGTCAGCTATTAGCACAGAAGTGAACGCAGGTGTGATCCATCAGTCTGAGTTTTTAAGTGAGCTGGGTCGCAGATTATCCCGTTCTTTTTTTTTATAGTTTGTAGCTGAAATTGCTGTGAGCTGCACTCCCGTGGATATCGGGTGTTTGTGAATTAAATATAAAACCTAAAAGTGACGAGGTTTGTCTGCAGAATATGTCACAAACCACCGGATGAATTATGAGGAAACCTTCAGAAAGCAACTGTTGAACCTTTTTAACCCACACAACCTTTGCTGACAACCCACGTCCGTACAGTCGCTGCAGCTAATTGACTTTAGGAAACACAAAGATGTCTGTAACTCAGCTAAATATTGAACTGAAACTTGTGTGGAAGTAGCTGAGAGTTGTTCCAGCAAATACCGTGTGTAACAGCTACATTTCTGTACGAGATAATTATAGTTTAAAATTAACATGAAATATGGCAGATGATCTGCATTCCTTTTAAAGCAGTGGTTCCCAACCCTGGTCCTTGAGGAACACCATGCTGCAGGTTTTAGTTGTTTCCCTGCTCCGACACACCTGATTCGGTGATTTAATTACTTCCTCGTGTTCTGCAGAAACTTGTAAATCACCCATTTATTAAAATCAGTTGTGTTGGAGCAGAGAAATTACTAAAACATGCAGGATGGTGTTCCTCAAGGACCAGGGTTTTGAACCCCTGCCTTAAATAAACACCTTATATAGCGCCTTTCTATATTATCGAGATACTCAAAGCTCTTTACAACACAACCTGTGCCCTCATTTACCCATTTATACAGCGCTCTACTAGATCTGTACAAAGAATAATCTGTGCTTTAGATCGCATTCATACACCAATGGGACACACATGGGATGCAATGAGAGGCTCAATGTCTTGCCCAGTGACACTTCAGCATGTGACTGCTGGTGGAGTCGAACCCCCAACTCTTGCACTGGAGGACAACTGCTCTACTCAGTCACAGCTGCCCCTATAATAATAATAATAATGAATAAAAGTTGTGAATAATGGCAGGTCACAGCTTTGTCTGCATATAGTGCTATCAAAAGTAGCTGTTTAGAACATGTTGTAAAGTGTACCCCCCCCCCCCACACACACACACCCCAAAAAAAATGGTGTACTGTAATAAAATCCCATCTATAAAATTGGTCACAAAAAAAAGGGGTAACTTCCGGGAAGCTGGTACCATGTGACCAAGCAAAGCGAGGAGGAGGGGTTACAGGGCTCCGCCCATGAATGTATTTGATTGGTGGGGCGGGGAGACATGGCAGCCAATCGCTGCTCGGACTCGACCTGCCAAACGTCCCCGCCCCTCCCAGAAAGGAGGAACTTCCAAAATAAACCCTCGCCCACGACAGGCGGAGCTGCGACAGCGGCAGCCCGGGATTCCTGCTTCCAGAGCGGGCTGAGGAGCCAGCAGCGCCCGCAGCCTCCACCTCACCCACACACACACTCCTCTCTAAAATAAAAAATATATATATTTAAATATGTAAACGAACAATAAAGACAGCGTGCGTGCATTTCGTGGCAAATGCAGAGCAACACCTCGCGCTGCGGAACCTCCTCCCAACAACAGCAGCTCCAAACAAAAGACTCCCAGCACCGAGCACAGCCTCGGTCTGCTCGTTTAGGACGTCGTCCACCCCCCCCGCCCCGCCACGACAGAAGGAGGTGGGGCCTCCAAAGATCTGTTTTTGAGCGGACAGATCCGATCCGGTTGTCCTTACTGAACAATGCCAAAGTCAAACGGAACGGGAACTACGACACCGCCGGAGCCTCGACTCCCCCCGAGAACCAGAAAGAATTGCCAGCTGAAACCCTGTTTGTTTACTCCTATAGTGGGGGGGTTAATGTCTAACCTGTCTCCAACAACTCCCTCCCCCTCCCCTCTCTCTGCCGAGCCGCTGCCTTGGACTCGCGCACCGGACGGTCCTCCGAACCGCTCCGGGGAAATGGTCGTCCACTAACCGACACGGACGCGGTGCAGATCTGACCCACCGATCGTCCCCACGAGCGTCAACAAAAAGCCCCGCTACGATCCCCCCCAGCATCACGAACTAAACGCTCACAGGCCCCACACAGTCGCCGCCGCCTTCTCGCTCCAACATTCAGTAATATTTAGTTTAATCAGCTGCTACATACCCAGGAAAACACAGGACTCCTTTACTCCGGAATTGTGTTTGTAACAGAACAGTTGGACACGCCCCCCTCTGCTCCCATTGGCTCGCGTCGCGTCATACGTCACTTTGTTTTGAATATAACCCGCCAAAATGAGGCTGAGCTCACCATCAGCTGCAGAGGTGTTGCCAGATACCGAATAATTATCGTATTTATACTATCATTTAAGGTTCTAGTCCAGGGGCCTGCAAGATGCGGCTCTGGGGCCACATGTGGCTCTTTCAGTCTTTGGCCAAAACTAAAATAAAACTTAATTGTATTTAAATTACTGCAATGAAAATGGCTAGTTTTAGCAGACTTCCCATCATTTTCAAACACGTTTAGGATAGTACAAATAGAAGGCATAAACAAGTGGACTGCATCGTGCTAGTAGCTTGTTAGCCACTATGTTAAGTTGACTTCCAGTCTCACAGCGTGATCTTTCTCTCAAAACTACCAGAATGTTTTGGAATATACTTAAGACAAGCTGCTGAGAAGGAATATGGAGAGTAACTTTGATAATACTAAGAACAAAACACAAAAAACAAAGTCAAAATAAACAGATGTATTTATTTTTCTTTAAAAATGTAATTGGATATCCAACAAACAGGCCTAATTTTATACTGTCTTTAAGTTTATGCTTCACGTATGATACTTAATTCTTCAACAATTAAGATAACTCACATCGGCCTGCAGAGTCCAGTGTTTTAATTTATAAAATTGTTAAACTTGTGGTCCATGGGCCACCAGTTGACAGAACACATACAGAGTGAGGGAGGGTGTGATTTATTTGGTTGTGGCGGCACATGCACTTTACCGGGGGGGTGGGGGGGCTCGGCCAGCAGACTGACTTTCTGACAGTATGTGGCTGTTTGTGTGAATAAAAATTTGTTTTTAAACTATTGCATATTAGGGCATTTTAAAAATGGTTAAAAATTTGAAATTTAATTGAAAAATTAAAAACGTTAGTGTTTCTATCGAAATAGTACCAGCACCATACTATCATATAAATACAATACAGTAATTATCATATATCAATACTGATTCACACAAACCATTATAGAAAAGTCCACGTGCCAGGACAAACCTCCTCCCCTTCAGAGCGCACATTTACCAATAACATCCAACCACCTCTGAAAAAAAGTGTCCTTACTCCACACAGTAATAAGTTTGATAGGTTATTTCTTATCTGGCAACCCTGAGCTGCTCTGAAGCAGGACGATTCCACCAAATTCAGCATTTGACCGTTTAAAGTTGCTTATTAGCACACGAGTAAACTCGGGCACCGCATGCTTTCCGGGCAGCATTCATTCTTTAACTAAATGTATTTTAATGAATCAGAAGTACACAACTGTTTAGACCACAACGCATCACAGAATACTGACTGAGCATGTGCAGTACTACCCTTTAAAAGGTCAGGTTGTTTACTCACCTGTTGTTACAGGTCGTTTACTCGTACTCCAGCAGTCACATGCCGAAGTGTCCCTGGGCAAGACACTAGAGTGCTGTATGAATGGGTAAATGAGGACATAGATTGTAGTATAAAGCGCTTTGAGTGTCTTGATCGGATAGAAAGGCGTTATAGAAGTAGTTTTAATTAAATTTAATTGGCCCCAGTGGATATTAGAGAAGGTTGTAGCTCCAAAGGTCCATCAGTCCAAAACAAAAGAGAAATAAGCCAGAGTTCAAATAATATTGTTTAAATAAACAAAACCAAGAAGTTCCCATAAGATTTAGAGTTCCCCTTTGATGTCACTTCCTGTTTCACTTTGCTTGTGCCAAACTCAAAAGATAATACCAGTTATATAACAAAATGGGTAAAATCATGCACAGTACTATTATTATTATTATGACACATTTATTAACTATTGTGAAATTTTCTCCTGCTTTTTGTAACTGTAGAATATGCATGCCACATGCACTTAATGGTCTTAAGCAGGGCTTAATTTGAGACGGATCCTGCCGGAACAGGATCTGGGAATTCTTACTTTGACAGGGTGAGTTCCGGTAACTCTCAGGCTAACTAATAATAAATTTATGAACAAATATGACTGCCTTGAACAAATAAAACTTATATTGGATATGTAAACTGAAAATAATTACATAAACACTAATTTTAAACACAACAGCCACGTACGAGCTTCTTAATATCACATACAGCTGCCTCTTCAAGTAGCATTTCCGCTTCTATCCTTAAAAAGATGTCTGCCCCTAAAAGATGGTGGGGACGAGTTCTGAGCTTACCAGGCAGGAGCCCACAGGCAGCTGCCGTGAACAGACGGAGGCGCCTGGAGGTTGTGGGGTCGGACAGCGAATTCGGCGAATAGTCTGCTCGGAACCGTCAAGGGGACGGGGCGGTAGGATGCTTGACAGAAGCGGAGTGTTTACAAATGTAGGTAAATGTAGACGTTTAACAACCCCCCCGATCAGCTTACAAATTAAGCCCTGGTCTAAAGTTGTTGGATGCCCTTCCTGACTCTAGCTGGGTTCAAACTAGCAGTCTTATGAGACCGCGGCACTGACCACAGAGCTACCGTGGCCTCAAATATTAGAGGACGCTAACGACTCAGCTACCAAGCACCACATTTTGCCAGTGTCCGTAAAAAACATTGAACAGCCATGTTTGTTTTCTAATACTTGTTGGGTGTGGCAGCCATTTTGAAATGGTTCTGCCTGTGTGCCTCTTAAATTCACTGGAAGGAGTTTGATAAACATTGGTTTTCAGATTTGTGCCGTACGAGTTAACCAGCTGATCACAAAACTACGAATATTTCCCATCAAGCCACGGGGCGCTGCTGCCAAGTCAGTTTAACAAACATGAACAAATCGTGCGTGTTGACAGTTGGTTTTTATTACAGTATACTGCAGCGCGATTCAACAGTTACACAAAAGATTACATGTTATAACAGAACAAATATAAAATTAATGTCGATAACTGTAGAATCGTATGAAAAACGGTTGCTGAATATAATAGAAAAATAAAATAAGGGCACATTTTTTTTGCATCTTTCGATGAAAGGAGGACTAAATCTAAAGTCGGAGTACATGAGGTCTGCAGACATGAAAATAAAAGTTCATTACCAGCAAATTCAATATGAATTCTGGAGTGAAGAACACAACATGATACGACACGTGATGCACAGATGCAGCTTTTATTTTTTTAGATAATGACTGTGAGATACTGGGACAGAACTGGGACCACGGCCCGGAGGACCCACAAGTATTCTGAAATGTAACGGTGACATTTTATTCCTGACTCTTAAAGACGTCAGAGCAGGTCGTGGTTGGCACACGTTCATCTTCGTTGAATATAACCCCCGTTATTTTTTTAACTGGTAAATATCTCGACACCAGTAACATCCGCATGACTCCAGCATCAGATGTGGACCGACCTGCTTTAATTTAGACTCGCTGGGACCATCGTTCTCTCAAAGTGCTAAGATGTGATCCTGCATTAAAACATGTATTGCACTAAAGTTTTAACTGTCGGTGCATGCTTCACGTCAGCGGCGCTCCGCCAGCTAAGGCAGCCAGGGTTGGTGAGAGGGGAGCTCCTGGGTTTAACTGCCATCATCCACTATTCAACTGGCGGCCCGGGGGCCAAATCAGGCCCACGGGTGTGCTCAGTTCGGCCCACCAATGGGTTCATTTTTAAATCAAACAAACTTACTTAATGACAATAAATGCTGGATGTCTGGCCCCTGAGCCATTTAACTGAACAGCCCTGATGTAGAGGAGAAATAATATTAAAGGTGGTATCTCACTGGGCTGCGACCGTTAGAAACTCTAAATTGTAAGAAAATAGGCAGACTTTCCGGTAGAGCGCCAAATCAAGTTGTTTTTTGCAATAATTTTAGTAGGGATGCACGATATTATCGGCTTGGTATCGGCATCGGCCGATATTAGCATTACAGGTAAATATCGGACATCGGCCATTCCATTAAAATAACTGGAAGTTTTATTTTTTGTTGGTGAGGATGTTGGATTCCGAAGTTTTATGGACTATGTTGAGCCTTGCTACATCGTCCCCAGTCAGATATTTTTCCGATGTAACATTACCCGAGTTACAAGCCGTCATTTCCGACATCATCGAAAAGCTAATAGCCGATAGCGCAACTTGGGTGAGTTTTACCACAGACATATGGACGTTGTGTTAGCCCCATTAGCATGATTAGTCTTAACAATGGATAGACAAAAACTTTGAACTTAAAAAGTCTGTCCTTCGTGCACAGGAGTGCAGAGGATCCCACACTGCAGCTATAGGAACCTGGAACAAGCCTCCACAAGTGAGACAGCATCGCAGGCTAATAAATAATATTTAACACTTTTCATTTAATATAAGTCAAAGTGCTATGCATATCATATGGCTGTTACTGAATATATGTCACCAGCTCTTACAGCTGTTGCACAATTTTTGTAGCAAATAAGCCTAAATAAGATGCTATGTTCTGACAAGGGAACATATGTAAAATATCGGTATCGATTATCGGCCGAATAAGTTTTAACATATCGGATATCGGCCAAAAATCCAATACCGTGCATCCCTAAATTTTAGGCTTCAAAATATTTAGTTATTGCCTTTATTCAGTTATCTTTATGGTAAAACACGCTGGAGTACAGTTTAGACTTGAAGATAAGCAGACTTGGGCAAATTTGTAAAAAATGTTATTATATGTATGCTCTGATTATTTTGAGAGAAATACCGTCGTACACACGTTTTAACATGTTGAAATGGCTAGTTCGGGAAGAAGGAGAACACGTCTAAACATTTTTAAGGCCTCTTCGAGAACGGCGTTCGCCCCCTCAGTCACAGTCTTCATTAAATAAAAACTGGAGGTAAGGTCTCACTGGGCAACAAGTCGTGGTTTCGACAATCCCACAGCGATTTTAAACAGAAAGTTGTCGCACAAATTATTTTTCAGATGTTCAAAATTCCAGCGACACGACTGCAAGGCTCACAGAAGGGAAACAAGCCGAAACGTGGAGACTAGGCCTGTCACGATAACAATTTTTGCTGGGCGATTGTCTACGAAATTATTGCGATAAACGATAATATTGTTTGAAATTTGACAATAATTAGTAATTATTGTCAAATTTAAGAAGAAATGTTTAATTTGTTCTGTGAGTAGTACCTATTTTCAACCACCAGATGGCAGTGTAAGACTGTTTGAACAGAAGGATAGATAGTGAGGGAGCGAGCAGCGCGTCTCTTAAGAAAAATGGGAGGGAGGCCCCTTGACATGACATGGGCTGTCTCTCTTAGGTTCTCAAAATGACGGACGCTCGGTGTGGTTTGAGCTCTTTAGCATTTTTCACACAAAGCTTTTAATTAAAAAATAGTAAACAAGTTCTCAGCTTCTTTTTGCAGAGAAAAACTACTTTTTACACAAAGGCACAGGTTTCAACCGTGAATTTTGGAACTTGGACAAGACGGAGGTTTTTTCCCCAGAGTTCGGCCTGTTAGCTTAGCTCGTAGCTTAGCTGCTTTTAACGATCCAAAAACGCAATTTTGGATGGTTAAAACGGATTTTAAAGAGAAAAGAGAAAGGGAGGGGTCAGTGAAGAGCACCGGAGTTGAGTTTTTAGTCATCCAGTGTCTTCAGTAGAAAGAGAGAGACACGAAGAAACGATAAAGCCGATAAATGAAAATGAAGTTGATAATTTTAATTCATCATGCGATTAATTGATTTATTGTTTATCGCGACAGACCTACATATACGTAGATCCCATTTGACCATACTTGAACACCGCCATGCTAAAGGCCTAGTGGAGACTCGCGCAAACGTTGCTCCCCAACGAGACTCGGATGGTCGCAGCTCAGAGAGATGCCGTCTTTATCAAACAGGCAACGATTTAAGGATGCAGGTGAAAGTTTTAGCAGCGATTTGGGAGTCACTGACGAACATCCTGTGCTTTAACCTCATTCCTTCTGTTCACCACGAAGCAGACAGAGTTCAGCAGAAACCGTGTTTGATGTGAAACATCTCGTCTGTGTGTGCGCCGGACTCTACTGAGAAGATGCTAAACCAGCATCCACGTGGCTTCACTATGAGCTACAGACTGTGCTTTGACTGACTGAACTTCTGGGGGTAAGAACTACCACTTTGTTGTTGCACAACACTGGAAATCAGGTTGAACTGATTTAAAGAACAACACCTCACCTCAAAACTTTATTAAATATATAAATTATTTGTCCACGAGGCAGGTCGTCTTGGATTTTTGTACATAAGACTAAACGACGTTTCTTTTGGCCCTGATTATTCTACAGCAGCTGTTGGCGTTTAAAGGCATACTGTCACTTATTTCAGGGTAAACTAATCCGTTCTGGTCCAATCGGTGATAAATTCTTAAAGTAGAGGTTAATATTACCATCAGTGTGATCCCTCTGCTGCTGAGGGACATTCACACGCTGTTGACGGCTACAAGCGTTTTATCGTCGATGCGTTTTCTCGGTTTGCCGATGGAGATCGGACATGTTTGAAAGCTCATCTTCAGGTGAGGAGGTCACGTTCTGGCACCAGCTGGTCCAAGGTTAACATACTGGCAGCAGAACCGTCGGGTGGTCGTCCGACTCGGGGCCTCACTGGTTGGTCGGGAGCAGGCCCTGCCGTTGAGCGTGCTCCAGAATGGCGTTGTAGCAGAAGTAGTACTGGTCCGGGGTTTGAATGCTGAAGGCCCTCTGCGTTCTCATGCGCCGCACCGTCTGGAAGACGTTGAGCAAGCCGACGTCCTGCAGCTGGGACAGACAGATGTCCAGGGCGCAGAACGTTCCTGCAACACAGCAGCAGCAGGTAAGAGGAGGCCGACAGTGGCCGGTATCGGTCCTGTATCAGACAGCAGAAGCTCATTACCGGTTCTCCCAATCCCAGCGCTGCAGTGGACTACCATCGGAGGTCCCAGCGGATGACCTGTCCACTGAGGACCCAAAGCCTTCACCATCTTTCTCTGTTGCTTCTTCACAGCTCCCAGGAAGTCGATAAGAGTCACCGCTGAGGTGGGGACCCCGTAGTCGGGCCAGCTGAGGTACTGGAAATGACTCACCTGTCTCTGTTCACATGTCTGGACACAGAAAACAAAACATTAATGTTCTGCATCTGTAAAGCTATAAACAATAAACCAAACATGGCTGACCTGCACGTGAAGAGGAAGGTGTTCCTCTTACATGTACCGTATTTTCTGCCGTACATGTCGCACCGCCCTATAAGTCACATCATTCCAAATATGTCTAAGAAAGTGGACAAATCCATAAATATGTCGCATCTATTATGTATCACCGCCATGCGTCGCAAGATTAACTCTTAAAAACAATTGTTTGCTCAAAATTATAGTAAAGGTGTGTCTCAGTTGAACTTTTACTTAATAAATGCACTTCAATGGTAAAATCAGCTGCATTTCACCGGGGCGGCGAAAAGAACCTGATTTAACTGTTGCTCCAAGCGAGCTGCACGGAGGTGGCAGGCTATGGCAAGCAGATTGTGTCATTAACAGACTCGTTTACCCAACACATGACACAATGGCATGCCATACCACTCGAGTGCCATCTAGTGGCCGAAAATGGTAGTGTTCAACATTTTCAGTCGGAATGAATGAAAACGGTCATATCTCGGCCAAAACGAGTTATAAATATGGGAACAAATCCAAAAATACGTTGCTTTGGCGTATAAGTCGCAGGGCATGCAAATTATACAAATAAAAAAACGTGACTTACAAGCCGAAAAACATGGTAGCTTCGATTTACAAACACTAAATAAACTTCTCACAGTTTTAAATGGAAGGTCAAGCCTTTTTAGAAGTTTGTGAACCACTGCTTTAATGGGATATTTTGGACACTTTCATGTTAGATTGTGTGTAGAAGGCGGAGGTGCTACGGTTGACGTCTTACTTTTAAACAGTATCTAAGAGTTTGAAGGGACTCCCTGCAAATGTCACGAAGATATCTTAAAGCAAGAAACAAAATCCACACAATAGATCAGTAATTCTGTCCTTACGTTAAAACCTTGTAAGCAATATTTGAGACCGGCTGCCAACTGCTGTTTGTTTGTTTGTTTGTTTGTTTACCTACAGAAACAAAATGACTGACAACAAGAGAACCGTTAAACTTACCGGCTACACTTGTACAGACTACAGTCGGCATTATGGAGCTCAGTCGGGTGGCTAAAGCTTCCAAATAAGGTGAGGAAGATTCATCACTGCTTTGTTTACGCCGAGTGCATACCCCCATTTTGAAATAAACTTTCAAAACTGCACTATGAGATATCATTCTTTAATTCTGATCACATTTCTGAGCTACAGTGGTGCTTGACAGTTTTATAATTTTCTGTATTTCTGCATAAATATAAACTTAAAACATGATCAGATTTTCACACACGTCTTAAAAGTAGATAAAGAGAACCCAGTTAAACAAATGAGACAAAATATTATACTTTGTCATTTATTTATAGAGGAAAATGATCCAATATTGTGGATGTGTGAGCGGTACAAGTATGTGAACACTGTACAAGGAGGCTGACATATTGGTTTGAGGGAAAAGTTTTTGTATGAATGATTAAGTAGAAACATCCAGACAGGAAATATTTTAAATTTTTCGTCTGCAGAGAGAAACGAAAGCTGCTGCAGGTAAACTTTGGTCACTGCGCAGCACACATGTCTGATCGGAACATTTTGTGTCACTTTGAGCGTCTAGATGTAATGATTATCCAGGGACCTGTAGTCCTCCATTGCCCAGAGTAAATATAAACCTGAAATATACTAAACCAATAACAAACTGCTGGAGCAGGGACGGGGCGAGAGGACAAAGCATTTTGTATTTCTCCCTCCGTTCTCCGATTATTAAAAGCTGTTTATATCCTCCTTACATGTTATTTTATGTTCATCTTTAATTGTTTCATGACTGCTATTACATACATTTAATTAGACCGCTTTACCATTCAGATTACTGTGACTTGATTGTCTTCATTATTTTGTCAGTTATCGCATCAAAAACAGGAGGAGTCTGAATATATTTATTAGAATCCAACCAATATGGAAATTTTGGCCATCACCGATATTGGGAGGGCAAACAACCACCTACAACCGATATAATGGTTGGAAATTTTTAAGTTTTGTCCACCCCCAAGAATTTAAGAAAACAGCGAGTGAAGCGGGGCTTGTTTCTTTAGCGCACCTGTTAGCAACCATGAAGCTAAGCTAATCAGATCCACGCTATACGTAGTCCCTCAGTAGGTTCACAAGTGGTGCACTGGCCATAAAAACAGTCTTCCTAACGTGCGTTCACATTTTCTATCCTCCACTATTCACCATAAAGTTATCAAGTATGTTACAAAAAAAATTTAAATAAAGAAGCGTCCTTCCCGTTAGGACTAATTGGTACTGACTGCAGCAACGTTTCTTCTTTCTTTATAGAGAAGTAAAGATTTCAGACAAACGGTGCATTTCATTGATAACAACAAAGATAACGTTACTAACACTGATACGTATTTACCGCTACGTTTGATTTATTCTTTTGGATAAAGTTTTACAAGGCAATAGCCTATGCTAAACGTTAGCTTGTTAACTTGAGAGGCACTTAGCTAATAACAAGCGGGCTGGAGGATCGATCATTATTGCCGATTTATTTTACAGATCAGTTAAAATAAACTTACCGTGCTCTGTTCAGCAAAATACGCTACACAGTACTGCTCCCTGCTTCGTCTGTTCTGAACGTGAAAGTGAAACTTAAGGCCATGACGTGAAAGTGTCTTCATGCGACCTCTGCTGGATACATTGTACAATTACAGCTGGTTCCAGCATTTTAAGGGTGAAAATTAGACGTGTTTATATCTGTGCGTAATGGGACAATTATCACAGATACTAATAAATCCCCAAACGCCTATATCGTCCTTAAATAGCAGCCTTGCTGATATATCGGACGGGGCTTTAATATTTATTATTAACATTTAATGAAAGCTGGATAAGTATTTGAAAATAAGTTTTACGTGTGCTCTTTATGGGATAGGTGCGTACGTCTTTGTAGTCCGACTTGGACCAAGCTATCGGGTCACTTAGCCACGTACCTGTTGAGACTTTACACGGGCATTCATATCCTTACGACATATGGAATATGGCGGTTTAATATAACGTGATGAACAACGTTGCATCAACTTCAAAAATGGTTCAAATGAACCGTTCTTTGTCCACGATGGACAAAACGAGAGCCCAATAACAGTCGGCTAAACGAACGCCACGACCTTCCAGTCCAAAGGAACGCAGTACCTCAGTGTTGTGCAGCTCAAGAGTGGTGTGGTTGTGGTGGGTGTGGTGGTCCACCCTCTGGTTCACCACAGCTATATACCCGTAGACCTCCTGCCCCCCTTCCTCCAGAGGCCAGTACTGTCCACACTTCCTCCGACTGCCCTCGTCTGTCCTGCAGCACGGAGACACGGTGCACAGGAAAATCAAATAACGGTATTGTTTTCTACCTTTTAGGCTCATTCACTACAAATGTACCTGGTTGTCATGACAATGACGAGGACACCTTGTTCCCAGACCATTCGCCAAAAATCCCCGTAAGTTCTTTCCAGTGGTCCTGCAGAGCAAAAGACCCCCCCAGCTTAAACCAACCTGCTCAACTAACACACCTCAGTCAAATATGAGAAGCTTTGAGATCAATAATCCAAACAAAAAAACTGCTTGAAACTAAATATTTGATTAAATATAATTGAATGAGGCACAGCAATTTTTAGAAGTGGAGTTAGTTTAAAAAAATAATGGTTTTATTAACATTTTCAGGGCTGAGTACCTTGAGTACCGATGTATGCGTTCCTCTGTTTGTAGCCGTCCATGAAGCTTGCGTTGATGTAGTCGGATCTCTGCAAGAACAACAAAGATGGCAGAAGACCCGAACAGGGCCAGTCAGCTCAGCTCTCTACAGATTAAACAAGCGGGACGCCGCTGAGCGGGACGCCACAGAGGGATTTCAACAGTATGTAGTTGTTTTAGACGAGTGTTCTTCTGGACTGGACTTGAACAGGGAATGAAAGTAAACCCTAATGTTTTTTAGTGCAAGACGTTCATGTGGGTAGAAGAACAGAGGTAGGGTATTATTATTTTTTCAGATTGTTCCAGGCAGCGCAGAGTGACGGATCAACGAGAGTGGAGGGAGCAATTTTATTCATGACCAAATGCAGTGGCGGAGCCAGGGGGTGGCCAATGGTGGCCTTGGTCACTGTAGATTAATCTTCGACCACCCCGATTATTTGAGAAAACTATACATTTTAAGCATTATAAAAAGTAGAAACCATAGTTTCCTCAAATGATTATGGTGATCAGTTTACCCACAGACACGTTTACAATATACAGTGCCTTGTGAAAGTATTGGGCCCCTTGACCTTTTCAACCTTTTGCCACATTTCAGGCTTCAGACATAAAGATATAAAAAATTTTTTTGTGAAGAATCAACAACAAGTGGGACACAATAGTGAAGTGGAATGAAATTTATTGGATGTGTCAAACTTTTTTAACAAATAAAAACTGAAAAGTGGGGCGTGCAATATTATTGGGCCCCTTTACTTTCAGAGCAGCAAACTCAGTCCAGAAGTTCAGTGAGGATCTATGAATGATCCAATGTTGTCCCAAATGACTGATGATGATAAATAGAATCCACCTGTGTGTAATCAAGTCTCTGTATAAATGCACCTGCTCTGTGATAGTCTCAGGGTTCTGTTCAAAGCACAGAGAGCATCATGAAGACCAAGGAACACACCAGGCAAGTCCGAGATACTGTTGTGGAGAAGTTTAAAGCCGGATTTGGATACAAAAAGATTTCCCAAGCTTTAAACATCCCAAGGAGCACTGTGCAAGCAATCATATTGAAATGGAAGGAGTATGAGACCACTGCAAATCTACCAAGACCCGGCCGTCCCTCTAAACTTTCATCTGGAACAAGGAGAAGACTGATCAGAGATGCAGCCAAGAGGCCCATGATCACTCTGGATGAACTGCAGAGATCTACAGCTGAGGTGGGAGAGTCTGTCCATAGGACAACAATCAGTCGTACACTGCACAAATCTGGCCTTTATGGAAGAGTGGCAAGAAGAAAGCCATTTCTCAAAGAT